GGGTTCCCTTCCTGCCCAACTCTCCTGTTTCAGCACAGGCAGGGCTGACCTCCCTCCCTGTGTCAGCATCAGGTGCCCTAAGCTGCTTCTTACTTTCCTGCTGTAGTGAGAATTGTTCTCCAAAACCAAAGTAACACCATCTTTGTTGTTTGTTTTGTTCTTTGACACTGGGTCTCACTATGCAGTTGAGGTGGCCTTGAGCTCACTATGTAGCAAGGTTGCCCTTGGACTCTCAGTGATCCTCCTGTTTCAGCCTCCCACCTGGCTCACAGGCCAGCACAGCCAGGCCCGGCTGTATCTCCATGTCCTGCTGGTGCCCTAGAGCTGAGGCTGTGCCAGGCTGCAGCCCAAGCCCCTGCCCCCAGTGCTTCACGAAGACAGCAGAGTTTCCTGATGAAGATACAAACGGAGTGGAGCAGACACAGCTTTTTCCAGGATGCTTCCTGCTTTATCCCACCCTTGTTTTAATTAAAGTCCTAAAACCATTTGCTGAGCACTGGGGTTGGTGACCTCAGCACTGCTGGGATCCCCACATGCCCCTGCTCTGTACGCGACCCTAATAAATGCATGTACCGCCCACGCTGGCCTTGTCCGATTCATGCTTGCACCAGTGACACTCTCTCAGCTCAGAGTCCGACGTTCCTTTTAGCTTCTCTTGGAAATCCACACGGACATGGAAAGGAAGACTGAATGTAAACTTGTGTTCCTCAGATTCCTGACAGAAGGGCTGCTGGTTAATTACAGGTGGTTCCTACAGTTGGGGCAGAGGCAGAGGGAGCTCTGAGAACCTCCCTCACTGTGCTGTGCTGAGTCTCTGAGGTGGGGACGGAAGGCTGCGAGGAGGAGCCAAGGTTGGCGTTCGGTGCTGGCTGGGCTCTAACCTGGTCCCTCTGCGGGGTCATCTCTGCTCCCCTGTCCTTGTCCCTCCAGCAGAGCCTTGTCCCTGTGTGACCTGGGGACTTAGACTCCTGCAGGACCTTGTTCTGTGTCCCAGACCATGGACAGCGCTGGCTTCCTGTGGCCTGGTCAGCCTGGCTGTGGCCTCACCCCACCCTCCGTGTTTATTTCCTGGTTCTTGGTTTCCACAGGCCATGGTGTTGGCCCGGCTCTCCCAGGGGTCTGATTTCCTTCTCTTTCATGTGTCCCTGTCTCTGAATGTGCCAGGTGTTCATGCTGTCACTGTCCCCAGAAGGCCAGTGACTGCTTACACATCAGATCCTCCCTCCTCTTTGGTTTTTCTCCTCTGTCCTTTTAGAGCTGTTTCCACGCCTGTCTTTCTGCCTTTGTCAATCTTTTAACTCCAATTCTGCATTCCAGGATTAGCACGGGAGGGAGCCCATACTCCTCATCCTAGATCACTCATTTCCTGCTCTGCTCACCCACCCCTCTCTGCCTGGAGCTCTGGTCATCCAAGCCCTGGCTCCAGTGGGAGCTTAAAGACACATAGGGAGAGTCTAATGTAGATTAATACTTGGAAAACAGGATCCATCGACTCGAAATGTTTTCCTACACGGGGAAATGAAGGTGCTCTGTGCAGTGCAGAAGGCTGCCTGGGAGGGAGCAGGGAGGGAGGCAGCACCTGTGAGAAAAGCCCAGGGGGCCCTGACCTCAGGGTGAGAGCTCACGGGGCAGCGCCTGGCCTGAGACCCGGAATAAAGACGGGAGTCTCTGAGCAGCCACTGAGGGGCAGGAACTGCGGTTGTGCGTGCGGGTGGATGCCCGTGTGTGGGCAGAGGTGTGGACAAGGAAGCAGGACAGGTGAGTTAGATCTTTGATTCAACTTGCTATTCTTTTCTGTCTCCCTCACACCTTTCTGGTGGTAGTGGCTGTGTATATTTGGATTCTTTTCATTTCCAAATTTTAAAAAATTGTAGGGTTGGGGTGGATACTGTGTGTGACTGTGCCTAGGAAAAGTGTAGCTCTACTGTTCTCATCTTATTTGTGTTACTGTGCATAGGAAAAGTGTAGCTCTACTGTTCTCACCTTATCTTTCCAATTCAGAGTTAGTAGTCTGTTAATGATCAGCTTGAATGTAGAGAAAAATTTCCATTGACCCCCTTGATTGTAACACTCTCTAGGAATTTATTTAGAATCTTAATTTTTCTAATTCAAGCTCAGTGTTACTCACTTTGGGCTATGATTCTATATGACCACTTTTCCATAGGCGTAGTTGATGCATTTCATTCATATGTAAGGGCTTTTTTGTTTTATTTATTTGCTTATTTTTTGGTACCGGGGATTGAACTGGGGTCCTTGTACTTGCAAGGCCAGCCACCGAAGTGCTGAGCTAAATCTCTGGCCCTGGGGTCTAATTCTTTTGATTCTTTACACCTGATGTCAGACCCCTGTCCCCAGAAGAGCTGCGAACATTTTCCCTTCCACAGTCTGTCACTTCACTCTCTTCATTACCTTCCTTTGCTGTGCAGAAGCCTTTTACCTGGATGTGATCCCATTAGCTGATTATCCTCGTTATCTCTTGTGCAATTGAGGTTGTTTTAAAATTATCCCTGCCTGCATCTATGTTTTGAAGAGTTTTACCTGTTTTATCTTCCAGCACATGAAGTGTTTCTGTTACATTTAGATCTGTGGCCCATATTGATTTTGTCTCAGCACATGGTAAGATATATGGGTCAAGACTCATGTGCACATCTCATTTTGTAGTTCAGGTTGAGGCTGGCTTTAAACTCATCATGGAGTCAAGGCTGGCCTCGAGCTCACAGCGATCCTCCTGCCTCAGCCTCACCAATGCTGGGATTACAGGCATCACCACAGTGCCTAGTTTCCTCCAGCATATGTTTTTGGCCCTTGTCAAAGATCATATAACTGAAAGTACCTTCTGTTTTCTCTGCATCCTCTCTTCTGTTCCATGTATGTCCTGTTTTCAGAGAGTTAGAGAGAGATCACAGTTCACATATCTTTTATTACAATATATGGTTTATATTGTTCAATTTTAGTACTAGTCAATCTATAGGTTTCATATTCTGCTTAGTAAATAAGTTACTTTATCATAGGTGTATACAAAGTAATTACAAATATATATTTATTTATATTACAGAAAAGCACAGAGTCACCTAGTCGAGATAGGTTTGTTACTAGGCCGGGACTCAGGACCACTGTTGGTCTTGGATCTCTGCTCGGTGGAGAAGGGGGCCCCACAGTACGGAGGCCAAGCCCTGGCCTCACACACACTCAGGGCTGTACAGTGCAGATGACTCTAAAGCACACCGGTCTGGAGGCACAGATCGCTGCCCTGGGAGTCAAACCCAGGAGCCCGTGGCGGCACACACCGCCCTTTCCAATCCCTCGGTGTGCGGGACACAGCCCTTCCCTGGTCCTAGAGGCCTGGCCACTCAGGGCGGACCCGCTGCGCCCCCTACAGGTCATAACGCGGAGCGGCCCGGGCTCTGGGAGTCGGCTTGGGGCGAAGGTGCAGCCTGTGTGAGACCTGACTAAGCTAAAGTGACTCCTTGTTGGTCGCTGATGACTCCAGAGATTATTGTTTCCCCGCCCTTATCAAACCACCGGGAAAACTGGTTAAACTGCAAAAACCTTCTTGTGCTAAGGGCTAACTTGATTAATAAGCCTGCCCGGGAACAGATGGGATGTTACAGGTGAGCATAAAACACTAACTCTCAAAACAAGTGTAAGATAAGCAAAGGTATCTGGAGTTTCTCTCCCTTGCAGTTGTGATAAAGCCCCGACCTATGTTTGAACTTTTTTTGTTTAGAAAAACCCTATAAAGCAACCTCGGCCCCTGAGCATGTGCCTCTCAGAGGTAGTTGGCTCCGGGAGTGGCGTCTGGCCAGACTAATACAGGTCTGTTTTCCAACTTGTCCGGCGCGGTGTGTTCCTTCCTGGGCGATTCTCGCTGCTCGTCAAGCTCCTGGAGCAATCGCTGGGCTATGGGCCCAGCATCTTGGAGGCCCTTTCGGCCGTTCAAGCTCCTCGGAGTGGAAGTAAGGCCCTAGGTCTCACACCGGTGCGGTTAGCACCGCGGCCCAGGCCGAGCTCCTTCTGCGCTGTGACCCGGGAGAGGCGGCTTCAGGGGCG